CAGGGGCTGTGAAGAGGCAGGAGCCAGGAGCCCCTCCAGGGTGGCTATGGGGGAGACCTGTCCTGCCCACTTGAATCATCTGCGGGAATCCTATTAAATGTGCCTATGGGCCAGCCGGGGACCACCGGCCTGTCCCTTGCCGCTTTGGGGCGGAACCACGCTCCAGAACCTGCCTCTTCTGCGACTGTTACTTCTTTCTTTGGGTGGGGGTCTCATTCCAAGGGACCATTCCAGGTGGCCGCCTGTTCCCGGGCCCAGGCCCTGGGTGCTCTGCCAGCCCTCGCTGGGCCCTGAGTCTCCCTGTGGCTTCTCCCTTCAGGAAGGGCGTGTGCCTGCTCCAGCCACCTCATTTGCCACAGGGACCTGCTCCCAGTCCCATCCCTGTCCCTGAACGGCTGTTTATGGGGAGGGGTTCACCACTACCACCAGTGCAGTCACCTCCTTCTCTGCTGAGGTCCTCCCAGGGGATGTGGACTCGGAGGTGCAGTAACCACCCGGCGTCCATGGGGACAACCCCTTTCTGGGTGGCTCCGTGCTGGGCAGCACCACTGGGGAGAGCGCTGGCCTGGGAGCTATTGGGAGGGTTCCCAGCCGCACATCTGGCGCCCTGACTGTTTATCCACTTGACATTTGAAAAGATGCTTTTTTTTTCCTCTTCCCCCAGATGTCTTGACGGGATCACTGGGGCTCTTTGTGACTGAGGGTGGTCAAACTGCCACCAGAGGAGATGGGGTCTCAGAGCAAGAGCTGGGATGGGGGATGGGAAGAAGACGACCTGGATCGCAATGCCGCGGGTCCCACACAGCCACGGTTCCTTTGGGGGGGCAGGGAAGGGGCCAAGCTACATGGGCACATGTGCACACACATTCATTGCAGTACACATGCTCGTGGGCGACGCACATACATCTGTGCGTGTGTATGTGTGCACGGGCGCTCACGCACGCACCCTAGTCTGCTTACACACCTGGCCCGATGACCATCTCACCCTTGGGAACCCACCCCATGGTTCCTTTCTTCAACTGTTCCTGAATAAACGATTTATGTAAGATACCGAACTGAGGGAAGCTGCTTTCTGAGGACCTTGGAGTGTTCGGGGGGAAGGTGGGGGAGGGATGCCTGGGGAGGGGAGGGGATTGCCGGGCTGGTCAGGGACTCACATGCCACCCTACTCCCATGTCATCGTTCCCCATCTGGCACCACATCGCCTTTCGGCCCATACTCTGGCTGAGTGGCGGTTTCACCCATTGAGCCCCTATCTGTACCCCATACAGCTAAAGACTAGGACCAAGCAGTGAGCCAAAGAGGCCTGCCACTTGGAGCCAACTTCCTGGAGGGGGAGGGAAGATCCTAAACCACAGACCCTATGACGCAGTAAATGACACCAGTGTCCAGTGTGGCAGAGAGCGGGGGAGCAGGTGGTCATGCGGGTTGGCAGCTGCACCCCAAGACTCCATGCAGAGTCAGACCTAAACCTCGGTATAAGGTGATGGGAGCCACAGAGGGACACGAGCTGGGGAGGGACATGTCGAAGCGCATGTCCCTCTGGCAGATGAAGTGTGGAATTTGGACCGAAAAGGCCAAGGCTGGAGGCAGGGAGAGACTGCAGCGGCCGCCGGGCCACCTGAAGTGACAGACGGAGCTTGCTCCTCCCTGGCCTCAGTGCCTTCTGCACACCATATCTGGAGTAGTCCTTCTAAAGCCAGGATTCCCAACCATTGAGACATTGCAGGAAGTATAAGAAAAACAAGTGCAGTATGAAAACACAGGGGCGACTTTGTAAGCAATCTGGACACTATGTCCAGGGAAATCTTCCTGGTCCGGAACTCTTAAAATGTAGGATGAGATCTAAAAACATGTCGAAATGAATAGCTGAGCTCGTAGGAAAATAAGACAAAACCTCCAAGGTCAGAAACCATGAGGATTCTTGAATCCAGAGGAGTGAGCCAGCTCCAAGGCCAGCACCTATCCCAGAGGAATCGACACCCAAGAGCCGTGAGCCCAGGGCCACCCCTCCTCCTTGGACACCCTCTTCTTGTGGCTTTCTGGACACCACTCCTGGGAGCCTAGAGACAATAGCTCAGCCCCAACACTGAAGGACAGTATTCTCCATAGGAGTGGCTAGCAGAATACTGGTCTCCTAAAGATGGCAATATACTAATCCTAGGACCCTGTGAATACGGCACCTTACATGGCAAAAGAGACTTCGCAGATGTGACTAAGTCAAGGATCTCGAGATGGGGAGATTGTCCCGGATTATCTGAGTGGGTCCTAAATGCTGTCACATGCATCTTTATAAAGGAAAGAGGGAGGTAGGATTGTGAGAGCCAGAGCCAGAGAGAGATTGGAAGATGCTACACCGCAGGCTTCGAAGATGGATGAAGGGGTCACAAGCCAAGGAACGTGGGCAGCCTCTGGAAGCTAGAGAAGTCGAGAAAATGGATTCCTGAGCCTCTTCAAAAAATGCACGCCTGCCGACACCTCGATTTTAGCTCAGTGAAATCTATTTTGGATTTCTGACCTCCATAACTGTAAGATAATAAATTTGTGGTCTGGTTGGAGGGACAGCTCCTTGATTGGTCTTGCAACTTCATCTGATTAGCTTGCACACAGATTTTTTACTTAGACCGTGACAGTCCAATAAAAATAGCAAAGTTTAAAAATATATTTTTTAAAAGTTCTCAATGAAGTGGTCCAGAGGGAGTATTGTCCAAGAGTGCCCGGAAGAAGCAAGCGCAAATCCTCTGTGCAGGCATGTCCTTTGAATACAGGCCTCAAAGGATTCCTATAGAAAATTCTAAACTATATAATGAAAAAAAAATCACAAATGTACAAGGAAACAAGCCACCATGCATGAGAGGAACATATAAATTTAAGTACCAATCCTGCAAAAATATATTTTTAAATTACATGACACAAATATAAAATAAGTACGATCAATGTTTAAAGAAATAAAAGAAAGTATCAAAAGAACAAGAGACTATGAAAAGACCTGGTACTCTTGAAAGATGACCAAATGAAACTTCTAGAAATTAAAATTTTAATACTTGAAATTAGAAACTCAAGGTACGGGTTAAAGAGCATATTAAACATAGCTGAGCAGAGACTTAGTAAACTAGAAGATGGATTTAAAGAAATTATCCAGAATGTGGCACACAGAGACAAAGAGATTGAAGTCACACAAATAGTTAGTTGGATTTCTAGACCAAAAAAAAAAAAAAAAGGTCAAAAAGAATAGGGAATATGCAATAGTAGAAAAGACAATGGCTGAGAATTTTCCAAAATTGACAAAAGACACTGTGGAAGAGAATGCTAACTACCTGCCAGTATCCATTCTCCCCCTCCTTCTTTCAGAAATAAAATACCCAAAGGTTAATAGCGCATCTGGTTTCCTAGCTACAAACTTTATTTCACATCCTCCCTTGCAGCTAATTGTGGCCATGTTCTTCCTTGTTGTCTGCTTTTTCCATTAGAGTCCTAGCATATTAATCATAGTATTTCAAATCGCTGGTCTGATGATTCCAGTACCCCTGCCATATTTCAGTCTGGTTCTAATGCTTGCTCTGTCTCTTCAAATTGTTTTTTTTTTTTTTTTTTGCCTTTAGTATGCCATGTAATTTTTTGTTGAAAGCTGGACATGATGAACTGGGTAAAAGGAACTGTGATAAATAGGCCTTTAGTAACGTGTGCTGAGGTGTGAGGGGAGAGGAAGCATTCTATAGACTTATGATTAGGTCTCAGTCTTTTAGCGAGCCTGTGCTTCTGCGCTGTGAACTTTACAATGTTTCTCAAGTTTCCTCTCCTAAGGTGGAATGGGGTGACTGGAGGGGGCAGGAGTAGGGTATTTCTCTTCCCCCAAGTCTGTTAGACTCTGATAAAACCCCAATAGGTCAGGCTCTGGTCTAATAGTTTGTCTTGTTAAGAACAGAGTGCTCTGCTGTATTTCAAAATGTCTACTCTTCCCCTCCCCCTGCCAGAATCATGAGAAGATTTTCTACAATCTTCACTGTGGGGACCTGGTAGGGCTCCTAGAAGTAAAACTCACAAACATGTGAAAATCTAAGACTGCTCCCCAGAGTTTTTAACTCTTAGACTTGTCCACACCAAGCCTCCCGCAATTCGCCAATGACAGTTCAGATGTTCCTACCCCGGCATTGTTCCTAGTTGTGGGTTTCTGCTCTGGTTAAGTTGTGATTCTCTGTATTCGCCTGTCTCTCGAGTTTGGGGGATAGCAGTTTGCCCTGTAACCTCCATTCTCTGATGGATCTAAGAAGAGCTGTTGATTTTTCCATTTGTTCAGCTTTTTACCCATCGTTAGCATGGAGTGATGAGTTCCCATCCCTTTGCGTGCCAGACCAGAAACAGGAACTCCCCTGGGTCTGTTTTGATTGATTAATTTTTATCATTATGGGTTACATGTTTATGCTTCTTCTACCTCAGTCAGAAAGTCCGAGTGGTGGAGTTCACTTAATTTGTTTCCCTTTTTTCAGACACCGCGGGGTCTTCATTGACTGTCGTCCACCATCCGAAAACAGTCGATTCATATATTTTGCCAAGTTTTCCAGTTGTGTATGATGGGAAGGTAGTTCTGGACCCTGCTAGTCCCTCATGGCCACATTATTATTGAAACCTTTAAATTCTGTTAAGATAAATCTGCATGCGAAATTTTTTATAGTAAGTACTAAGAGAGTATAAATACAAATAGAGTGTACTACTTCCAAACTAGTAGAGGGAAAACATCAAATAATGAGAAAAGAATCTCAATCCAAAAAAAAATCAAAAGAGGAAAATAAAGAAGCAAACATTGGAATAAGTAGAAAGTATAAAATAAGATTTTATAAATTAATCCAAACATCACTAAGCAAAATAAATGCCTTTTCCAGTTAAAGACAGATTTTTTT